CTTGAAGCTAGTGGTCTGACTCCAGAGCCCACATTCTTTATCACGGGATTCAACATTCCTGCACCTTACCACCCACATTCAAAACAGAAACAGCCACAAGAGGTGCTGGGCATTTTGTGAGACACCTTTTACTTACTCTTGGTGTCCTTATAAGGTACTATTATGACAGGTTTTTACATGAAGCTGCTGGGTAGGAAAATAACACACACCTCAACAGTTACGAAAATGGATAAAAACAGTGTATTCTAAATTGTACAGCTCTATGGAAATTAGCAGGCAATTACTGTGTGCATAGTAAGATGATATGTCCCTTAAGACCCAGAAGAATTCCTGTGAACTGGAATTCCTGTGAACTGGTAAATGCTTCCAGAAGTTTCTTAGATTTGCCATTTCTACTACTGCCAGCCACGGGTAGCCCAAAGGCTTGTCTGGACCCCAGGCTGCCAGGCCTCCTGACCCTGGGCAATGCCAGGGCTCCCTGACTCTGCTCCCATTGCCCCCGCCCGGTCCTTCCCTGCAGCCACCCCACCTGCTCCTTGGCCATCGGGCCATCAGGGTTTCACCAGCTCACCTTGGCCTGTTCACCCTGTTATATTCTAGCACACAAGCTGCAGCTCTAACTTTAGATAAACTCCCATGGATCATAATTACTTTAAAAAATACTTACACCCTCACCTTTATATGTAAACACAGATGAACTTGGCCTTCTGCTGCAGTAATGCTCTGTGTGGCATGAATTTGAGGTCAGCAGGTCTGAATTCTATTCATGGCTTTTCCACTAAATAACTGTTTGACCTTGAGTCATTTCTCTTTTGGGGTCATGATTTCCTCATCCCACCAGTGGATAGGAATGGCACGTATGTGCAAGTGCTTTATGAACTGAAAAGTACTTTGTAGGTGTTGGTCATTACTTACCCTGTTCTCTGACCACCTCCAAACACTAATCTTCCTCCTTCTTTTGCTGAGGTTCCTAGCCCTGGCCTCACATCTAGTTTTTAAAAACTCTCTTGAATTGCCTAGAGAGCTTTTTAAAAACTGCCTATGCCCCACTGAGATACTCTGCTTTAATTGGTTCTGGGGTGAGGCCTGGGCATGAGCACTTTTAAAGACTCCCCAGGTGATTTTAATGGGACAGCAGCATTGAGAAGCTCTGGCCCATTGGAATGAGGAGCACGTTCCTTCCCTCCTCCATTTTCAAGGCTTGGTCCTGCTCCCTTGTGGACGTGTCTCCCTGCAGTGCTCAGCCTTCCAGAGGCCTGAGCACCTTGATGAACCCGCTCCTTCTAAATCTCTGGTCAAACTTTCAGGTAGGGCATGGTCTTCCTGTTTGTTAGCATAGCAGACCTTTCTCGAACAGCTTGACTGGTAAACTCAGCCAACAGTATTTTTACAGATGTTTCATTATTTTTAATGAAAACCAGCTCCCTCTCCACGCTAGGACACGAAGCCCTCTGGACCTCTCCACGTGAGGTGCTGGCAGAACATCTGCGCTCTGCACGTGTCCCAGATACTTGTCTGTGCACCCTCCTCCTGCACACACAGACCACCTGCTCCTTCCAACTCCCCCGCCTCAGCCAGCGATGTCCCCATCTCCTGTGTCACCCAGACTGGGAATGAGAACGTGTGGCATATGGGAGGAATGCATGTTCTGGAGTTTGCGTGCCCAGATTCAAAATCCTAGTGACTTCTGACAAATAACTTAGCCTCTCTGTGCCTCGGTTTCCTCTCCCATAAAAGGTGGATAATAATAATTCCTCTCTCATGATTTGTTAGAATTAAATGAGTAAATGCCTGCAAAGTGCTTAGTAACATGCACAGGGTAAATGCTCAGTGAATGTGAGGCTACCATATTTATACCTTCCCCTTCTGAAACACCCACAGTCAATCAACAGTTCAGAGATGCTAATTCCAGCTCTGAAATGTTACATTCTGGCTCCCTCCCCCCAACCCCGGTGCCTACTGAGTTCCAAACACCCTCTGCCCTTGGTCTCTCTGTCTCCAAGCATCCTCTTTAACTTAGCCCCTATCATGCCACCAACCCATCTTACTAAAATAGAGTTTGGTCACATAACTTCCCACATTAAAAAAAAAAAAATGCTGCCTGCCACTTCCTGTGCAGAGAAAAAGAGCCAAACTGCCTGCTGTGCTGTGTATCTTGTGGGTAGGTCTGAGCATTGCTCGCTGATCCACAACCCAGCCGACTGTCGGTAACTTCCTGAGCGGGCGGGCCAGCTTCACATCCCGAAACGTGTCCATGCCTGGGTCTCATTACTGTTGCATCATTCCAGGGTGTGGCTGGGGTGAAAAAGGCTCTGTTTGGTTTTTGCTGCACAAGACAGAGACACATGAGCAAGTACTCTTTTAAGACATATTGTTCACCAATCATTTAAAAATACTTTCCCCTTTAAGTGTGAGCTAGATTTTTCCAGTAATTTTCATCCACATACTCTACTCCTTGTGAGTTGTAAACAGGACAGAATAGCTACCTAGAAACTAACAGCAAAGATCTAAGGAGGAAAGAATTGAAGGAACAAGGATGTCAACTTCTTACTCCTAACACCGACATAGATTCTGGTGGGCGAGTGCTCATTCTTAGTGGATAATCCTGTGAGTCTTGGTACTTCATTCTCAGGAAGCATCCCTCAGGATGACAGTTGCGTTGATTGGATCAGTTCTTTGTGATTCGGTGGAGGGGGTGAGGGCTGCGGAGTGGGGGAGGGGAGGCATGCCAGCCACTCATTGCTCTGGGAGCTGGAGTTTACCAGGTAGTGGGAGATGTATCCGGAGCGGGTATATGGCCCACAGGTGAACTAAGCTACCTCCCCTTGGACCAGTTTCTAGTTGAGCAGCTGTTTGCGTAACACGCCTGATTTGGAATCAGCTGTGGGATGAGCGGAAGCAAGCTAGATACGTGCCTTGTGATTGGACCCAGATGTTCAATTAAATTGAAATCCTGAGCAATTACTATGGCAAAAAAAAACAAAAAAAAAAAAAAACAGCGGGCTGAAGTGCTTCGGATGAAGGATGAATTCTAAGTGATCCTTGCCCTCCTCTGTCACCAGGGAGTGCAGTGGGTGCAGACCTGGGCTAACTCAACACAGTTAACCCAGCTTCAGAGATGAATTCCGGAAGGCCAATTTGTTATGGCTGCTCAGAGTGGCAGCCTGAGCAAATTCCTGCCATTTTTTTGCTATCTCAGTGCCCTCTAGTGTCCAGCTGGGACGTAGCCTTACCTAAACAACACAAGGGTACACGCCTGCAGCTGGAGAGTAAGAGAGACTGGTTTAAGTTCCAGCCTTGCCTCTTGCTCAGCTAAGAGGCCGGTCTCACTTCTTTAAGTTTCAGCTTCCTCACCTGTAAAAAGGACATGCTAAGGCCCACAACATCAGTCTTCTTGTAAGGATTAAAGGACTAAGGTTTTCCATGATACGTGGAAAGCACAACACCAACCTAGCAGAAAGAAATTGCTCCCCAAAATACATTGTCACCAGGAGGTTCAGACATAAACTCATGCTAAGTAAGAGGGACAGGAGAGACTTATCTAGGGCACTCATCACTTTGCGTTATAGTCAAGTGTCTGTGCGCCATTCCCTTGTTGGATTGTCGATCATGAGGTAAGGGACCGCATATCTAAACACATCTTACAGCGTCTGGCCCATGGCAGGGGCTCAGAAAATATTTGTTGAATGGGTACTGAATAAAAACTTATTTTCCCTACCTTTAAATGTGATATAAATTGAGTGTTTCCAAATATCCAAGCAGACTCTCTTGCAGAGCATGCAGATTCTAAGAGCTCTCTAATTCAGCACCGTCTGGTGATTTCCCCTTGTCCTGAAATGCTCTGGCCCTGAAATACACCTTCGAGTGTCGGTAGGTCCCATCGTAAGGTATGAAAAGCATATTCTGAAAAATAAAGTCTGAGATGGGGACTCTTGAGCTCTGACCCCTTAGGAATCTGAAAAAGGGAGTGAGCTCCTGGGATAGAAGGGGTGCAGGCCAAGGGCTAGTAGTGGCTTTTAAAAGTCAGAACCCAAAAGACCTCCTATGCTGCCACTTGTATGTGTAAAATGAGAGTGATGGTCCCATCCCGAAGCACCTGGAGTACACGCTGGTGGGTCGACTCAATTAACAAGTGCCCAGATGAATTCAATTATACAAATATGCTTGAGACTCTGATAAGGCATCTCAAATTGGCCATGATTTCAGACTTTAATGAAGAACAGCAACTGTCATGAACTTGAATATGACTATGTCATCAATATTTTCTTTATCCAAAAATTATTCTTCTAATAGCACAAGTCTACAAACCCACATTAAGAAAAGAAAATAAACAAGACAGACAAGTAGATCAATTTCATTTTTAAACACAAGAAATATGTGAGAAATTTCAATTGTTATTACTTTTAAGGAGATAAATGTGGGGAGAAAAACGTGCTAGTTCTGAGCTGCACAGCCCCTTCACGAGACGGAGAGGTTGACTTTGACATTGAGAACTGATTAGAAGCTGTAATTGCAGATTTATGGAGTGCAACATCTGTTCTTTGTTTAGGATAGCCTTAAAACAATTTTAGGAAGATGGAGTCCATAAAACCCCAAAGCTCTTAGAGAATAACAACCTCACAGGGGAGCTTAACAGTAGGTCATATTGAAGTGCAGGGCTTTGTAGCCTTTACTGAATGGCAGATAACCAGGGGCCTTGAAATGATGGTGAAGAACTCCTACGTTCATTGAGTCTCTGCACACATCCAAATCTTGCCATCCTTGCCAGGCGGAAAGAGCTGGGTCACCTATGTGAAGAGCTGGGATCCCTGTGAGACAAAAAGTGGGGGTGTACTGAGATCTTAGTCTTTAAATAATATCAAAAATAAAATACCCTCAACCACAACATCACTGGTTTGAGAAACCACGTTAGATGGAAGGTGCTGATGAAGTGAATTGAGTGTCTGCCCCACACCAGGAACTGCCGCAGTTGCCAGGGATAGAAGAATGAATGAGATGCAGGTACATCCTGTGTTTGTGGTGCTTAATTCTTCTGGAAGGAGGCAGGCAATACTCAAATAAGCAAGATGACTTCAGATAATAAGTAGCCTGGAAAAAATAAAACAATGTAATGGGGTAGAGAATGACAGTATAAGGGGGTGAAGAGCTTTTTAAAAATCTTTTATTATGGAAAATTTTCAAGAAAATACAAAAGTAGAGAGTATAAAGAACTCTAATATGTTCTCCAGATTCAATAATTATCAATTTTTCCTGCATTTACGTCACTGGGTCCTTTTCCTTCCTCCCTTCATTCCTTTCTTTCTTGTTTTTGTTGTATAAATTATAAAATTATAAATCATATAACAATATGATATAACTTTACATTTTAACAGTAATTATAGCTATATGGTTTATATAACTATAATTATAAAAATATGAGTTACATAACTCTATAAAATTATAAATTATAAAATGATTCGTGAACATTATAAAATATTAAAAATAAAATTATACAAATAGCCCATAATCTAATCACCTGAACTTAATAACTGAATTTAGGTGCTTTTTCTTCCATCTTTTAAAAAATACCTATTGCAATATACCTTATTACAATATAACATACTATTGAAAAGTACACAGATGGTACTGTGTACAGCTTGGTGAAGCATCATAAAGTGAACACGTCTGTGTAACTATCACTCCAGCACCCCAGATTTGCTTTATTCCTTGCAATTTATTTATTGAAGAGACTAGTCATCATTCTATCATTTCCCACATATTGGATTCCTTTTACATTTCTTCTACCCCTACATTTTCTGTAAAATGGTCATTAGATTTAGACTTTACACTAGGGTCAGGGTCAGTAACAGTTCTGTGCCAAGTCATGATGGAGCCAGAGGCAATGAAAAAACCAGTAATACTGTTCTGTCTTTATTTACAATGTGGGTATTTTGTTCATCATAGATTTTTTTTGAATTTATTATGATTTTTTAAAATATTGTACCAAAGTTTATTTATGTTATCACTGAACTTTTTGGTCATCCCCTATTCTTGGCCCTAGCTGGAGGATCCATCAGTCTCATATTCAATTTTTTTGGCAAGAATACTTTATAGTTGACAGTGTGTCCCTTTTACATCACATTAAGAGGGACTAGCTTTCTGTTGTCTCTTTTTGTTATGTTAGGAATGATAAGTGGAGGATGTCGGTTCTCACGGCAACTGTTCCATATCGTACTGGAAATCCTAGCAAGTGTGATAAGACAAGAAATAAAAGGCATTCATATTGGAAAGGTAGAGGTAAAGCTGTCTCCTAACATAGAAGACATTGTTATTTATGTGGAAAATCTCAGAGAATCTACAAAAAAAGCTTTTAGGACTAAATGACTATAGCAAGGTCAACATGCAAAAATCAGTCATATTTCAATAGCTACAAGTGAACAATTGGCTACTGAAATTTATAAAATAGTACCATTTATAGTAGCTCCAAAAAGAATACGATGTATTTAGCTATAATTCTAACAAAATATGTGCAAGATCAATGTGCTGAAAACTGCAAAATACTGATGGAAGAAATTAAAGACCTAAATAAGTGAGGAGACATATTCTGTTCATGTATTAGAAGATTTATTATAGTTAAAATGTCAAATTTTCCCCAACTAATCTATAGATTTAAGGCAATCCAAAAAAAAATAATCCTAACATGATTCTTTATAGATATAGGTAAGTGAATTATAAAATTCATATTTAAAAGTAAAGGAACTAGAATATCCAAAACAATTTTGATAAAGAACAAAATTAAAGATTCATACTACCCAATTTTAAGACATACTATAAAATAAAACTATAGTGATCATAACAGTATGGGATTGACTAGAAGACAGTCATAGAAATAAATGAAACAGAATAGAGACTCCAGAAATATATCCATAAAACAATTTTAAAGAGTTTTATTGATAAATAATTGACTTATAACAAATTGTACATATTTATAGTATATGGTTTGATAAGTTTTGACATATGTATATATCTATAAAACCACTACCCTAATCAAAATAATGAACATATCCATTATCCCCCAGATAATGAACATATCCATTATCCTATGTCCTTTAGTAATCCCTCCTTCACACCCGGCTCCACTTCCCACCTCATCTCCTGGCAATCACTGATCTGCTGTCATTTATATTAGTTTTCATTTCCTGAAATTTTATATTAATGGAATTATACAGAATGTACTTTTTTGTCTTGCTTCCTGAACTCAACATAATTCTTTTGAGAATCATCCATGTTATAGCATGTATCGATAATTCATTCTTTTTTATTGCTCTGTGGTCCATTGTATTCATGTACCACACTTTGCTTATCTAGTCACTTGTTGATGGGCATTCAGGAGTATCCTGTTTTGGCTATTACAAATAAAGCTGCTATAAACATTTATGCACAAGTCTTTGTATGAGCATATGCGTTCATGTATCTCAGGTAAGAGTAGAATAGCTGAATCATATGGTAACTGTGTGTTTAGTTGAAAAATTGTTTTCCAAAGTGATTGTTCCATTTTACATTCCCACTAGAAGGATATGAGTGTTCCAGCTTCCAGCTTCATCACATCCTTGCCAACACTTGGCACAGTTAGTCTAATTTTAGCCAGTCTAAAAGGTATGTGGTTTTTATTTTCATTTTTCTAATATTGAAGATCTTTTCCAAATGTTAAAATTTTTTTCATATGCTTATTTGTCATCTGTATATCTTCTTTAGTGAACTGACAGTTGAAAGTTTTGACAAAGGTATGAGAGCAATTCAATAGATTATCTTTTCAACAGATGGTGCTGAACAACTGGATACTAAAATGCAAAGTTTGGACCTTAACCTATCTTCATATCATATATAAAAATCAACTGAAAATGAATCATAGACCTAAATGTAAAATGTTAAAACTTATAAAACTAACTTTTTAAAATTGAAACTATTAGTTTCATAAGGTTTAAAGGAAAAAGAGAACCTATTTGTGAACTTGAATCACAACAAGATTCTTAAAAGAAAAAAATGATAAACTATAATTTATTGAATTGAAACTTTTGCTCTGTGAAAACCACTAAGAGCTTGAAAAGATAAGGCAGTCCGGGCTCGGTGGCTCAGGCCTGTAATCCTAGCACTCTGGGAGGCTGGGGCGGATTGATCAGCTCGAGATCAGGAGTTCGAAACCAGCCTGAGCAAGAGCAGGACCCTGTCTCTACTATAAATAGAAAGAAACTAATTGGCCAACAAATACATATAGAAAAAATTAGCCGGGTATGGTGGCGCATGCCTGTAGTCCCAGCCACTCAGGAGGCTGAGGCAGTAGGATAGCTTGAGCCCAGGAGTTTGAGGTTGCTGTGAGCTAGGCTGACCCCACAGCACTCACGCTAGCCTGGGTAACAAAGTGAGACTCTGTCTCAAAAAAAAAAAAAAAAAAAAAAAGGATAAGGTAAAGACTGGGAGAAAATATTTGCAAATCACATGTCTGACAAAGGATTTCTACCCAGAATATATAAAGGACTGTCAAACTCAAAAATAAGAAAACAAACTACTTTTTAAATATTGGTAAAAGATTTGAAGCACCTCACCAAAGAAGATATGCAGATGGCAAATAAACATATGAACAGCTGCTCAACATCATTAGTCATTAGGAAAATGCAAATTAAAAACCATAGTGAGATACAACTGCATACAATATAATATAAAAAGTTCTGATAATGCCAAGTGCTGATAAGCACACGGAGCAACTGGAACTCCCATATGTGGCTGGCGGGAATGTAAAACGGTACAGGACTGGCACTCTGGAAAAAACGGTTGGATATCTTCTCACAAAGTTAAACATATACTTACCATTTGACCCAGACATCTCGTTTGTAGTTATTTATTATAAATGAAAACTCACACTCACACAAAAACCGGCACACAAATGTTTATGGTGGCATTATTCATAATTGCCCCAAACTGTAGAAAACTGCCCAAATGTGTTTCATCAAATAAATGGATAAACAAGCTTTGGAGCATCCACACAATGGAACACCGTTCAGCGGTACCGATGGGCTACCGATACACACAACCGTATGGATGAATCTCAAATGCTTTATGTTAAGAGAAAGAGACCAGTCTGCAAGATTACGCACTATATAATTCCATTTACATGGCGATCGACAAAGGACAAAACTATAGGAGCAGAAAACAGATCAGTGGTTGCTGGGGGTGAGAGGAGGAACTGACTACAAAAGGGCAGCAGGAGGGAGTGCCACTGGATCTTGGAATGGCTTTATATTATAAACAATGTGGTGGTGATTACAAGAATCTATGCATGCGTGAGACCTCATCGAACTGGACAAGAAAAATGAAGTTTACAGTATACAAATTTTTAAAAGCATTATAATAAAAATGATTTGATCAGTGGTTTCTTGTGTAGGCACCTGACCCATCCCTGTCAGTTCCTGAACCTGCAGGGCTTGATGAATAAACTGAGGCCAGGATGGGCTGGAGCTGACAGGCCTGAGGGAAGAGTGTCACAGGTGAGGTCAGAGAGGTGGGTAGGGCTGGCCACACAGGCCACAGGGACACATGGAAAGGTATCTATGCCTCTTAAAGATCATTCTGGCTGCTATGTGGAGAAGGGATATGTAATAGTGAATTACGGGGAAATGTTTTATTCATTTTTAAAAAACGATTAAAAAGAAAAGCCATCACACCTCAAGAAGAGAGGTCCAAATAATAGGAACATTTTACAGTGACAGGGGACTAGGAGGGAGAAGAAAACAGTTTGGCTTTGAAAATTTGGTTTTGCTTTGTGGTTAGACTTTCCTTGCTTGGCCAGCTCCAGTGCTGCAGAGACAGGGCCAGTGTGTTTTCTTGGCCTTCTGTCTCAGAATAAACAAACGTGGTGTCTCCAAGCTTTTCAGAGGGTCCCAGGTACAGGGTGACCCCGTCCAGACCGCAGAAGCTTCCTTGCCAGCTCTCTTACAGCTCACAGTGCGGACCCTGTTGCTATAAACACAGGACTCGGGAGGCCCTGGGCAAGTTCGAACACCTCCCAGAGCTAGTTTCTATGCCACCCCAACTCCTCGTGGACAAATGAGGCTTACCCATGGAGAATGGAGCTTCCTGGGCAGGGCTGGCACCTCTGACCTCAGAAAACACTGGAAAATGAGTGTGGTCAAGGCTGTTGGGAGTGCCATGAGTCACCACTGAGGTGGCTTCACATGGGATGGCTGGTGCTGCAGAAAGAAGCTGGAATCGAGGCCAAAGGAGGGGTCTGTTTGCCCGACCCCTCTGGCCAGCAGCAAACCCCCAAGTCCAGGCTCACAAAATGGCTGTGTAGACGTTAATCCTGGTGAAGAGAGAAAGGAAAGAGAGGAGGGAGAGAAGGAAGGAGGGAGAGGGGATGGGGGAGGGAGGGAGAGGGGGAGAGAGAGAGACTTAGTTCAGCCTGAGCTCTAAGAATTGCTCACTCCTCCCTCTCTGCTGTTCCAGGGTAGCTGATTTCCATCCACAGGGGCCATTTCATTTGGTTTCTGGATGTTGCTGCACCTCTCTCCTGCTTTATTTCTCCTCTTCAAAGCCCTGGACACCTTTGTCACGGGCAAATGTCTCCCTAATGAAAGGGTTAGGCCTGTCCCTGCTGGAATCACCAAGCATGAGGACTGCAGCCAAGCCCCATGGCTCAATGTCAAGTTCCCTTTTAACTGGAAAACATTTGATACCCTTTGCTCATGCAGTCCTGAAGTCTGAATATACTGACAGAAAGGGGAGAGTTCTGACTCAGGGATTTAACTCTATCTACACAAACATCGGTAACTACTCTACTAAAAAGCAAAAAAAGATGAAATAATGATTTTTTAAAAACTGAGAATAAAACTTACATTTACTTGGCACCAGAAAACCCAATGAAAGAGTGTTGGATGCTGAGTTTCCCAGAGCTTCCCATGACTTGCCTTTCACTGTTCCCCATAGTCAATGTTCAAATTACCAGGATCAAAGCGACACCTGGGAAAACAGAAAACAAAAACAAGACCCGAGTCGGGGGTCAGGTTCAAGCCATAGACCTCAGGTCGAATAGCTGTGTCACCTTGGGGGTGTCAGTAGCCCTCTCCACTCTCTGTAGCTCTCAGTTTCCTCATGTGTAAAACAAAGGGCTAGGATTTGGTCTATGATTTCAAAACCTGTCAAACCTGGACAGTATTTTCATACTGCTCAGACGCTTCAATTCTTATCACTGGTCTTAAATTTCCCACCTTCTCTTTACCATGTGTGTCTTCATTTCTACGGGAAGTCTGCTTGAGTACCCTGTTACTACCCAAAACTGAGTTAAAAAGATCAGTCTTCTCAGCCCACCACCTTTCTTTTCCCCCTTTCTCCTGGTAATGAGAGAGTTCGTGCTGGAACACACATGGCAGCTTACTTTTTTCTCTTTCACAGTCGCCTCCACCTGTATTTGGTGGTGGGCTGGGGTTACCTCCCATCCCCACATCTAAGCTTCCCCGGGGGCCTCTGTCCCTTTGGGCTCTGATCTCTTCAGGCAGCGCCAGGCTCTGCGTGGGCCACGACCCCGGCAAGCCGCCCCCAGCATGCTGCTGCTTCCTGTGCGGGCCAACTCCTGCGGCTCCTCGCTCTTAGACCTCCCAGCCTCCAGGACCTCCAGCCAGCAAATTTCTGTCCATTGTAAATCACCCAGTCTGTGGTACCGTGTTACAGCAGCCCCAGGCAGGTGTGCGTCCCTCCTGTGTGGAGAAGCCCCGCCTCCCACGTATGGGGGCTGGTCTGTCACACGAGGGTCTCCACACCTTACCCAACTCCTAGAAGTTCCTTTAGCCAAGTGTCAGTTACTCCATCGAGAACGACACCTGCTCAGCAAATTGCTCCACGATGAACTTGGGCTCTGCAGGTCCCTCAGAGCCAGATGGGCTGCGGGGGACATGGGGACCCACGCCTGTCCCCACCAATTCGAATTGAAAATAGAGCTCTTTATTCTCCCTAATACCCACAGAATAGTAGTTGGTGCAGGTACATACCCTCCCAATGGCAAACATTAATTCCCAGAAATAGTGTAGACTTTAGACCCTTAAAAAAAAACAAAAACTTTTTTTTTTTCCAAACTGCCCATACTGTGCAAGGCTGCCCCTTGGAGTTTTACTTTACATTCTTTTGGTGACCAGAATGTGCTCAATTCTTCCCTATCCATTCTACTTTCAAATGGTACTCCCTTAGACTGGCCGAGAACAAGAAAAGGGGCCTATTGGCCATACCACTTTAATAGTACTTCGTGGAGCCTCTCAAAGACCCCCCAACCCCGAAAGGATTACTTATAACGTGAGAGACAAATGAAGTTCTTAGATGATGGGGCCATGCTGTTCCCTAGTTTCTGTCTCAGTGTGGTGAGTGGGCAGAGGCATGTGTGTGTGTGTGTGTGTGTGTGTGTGTGTATGGGGAGACAGGTAATTCTTCCAGTTATAATAGCAATAAAAAAGGTGATGTCTGACCCATACTTACTAATTTTCACAGCATCTCTCGATCCTGATGGCACATTAGAATCAGCTGAACTGCTTTAAAAATGCCAATGCCTCACCTCTGAAATATTAAATCAGAATCTCTAGGGGTGAGGCCCGGCCAGGCCTCGTTGATTTTAAAAGCCTACAGGAGATTTGAATTTGCAGCCAGGGCTGAGAACCACTGATGTTCAGTGCTGGGAAGTTACCACAACTGCAAAAAGTCACGTTTTGCTGCACCTGAAATGAAGTCTGCAGCCCAAGGCAGCATTGTTCCAGCAGGCTCCTTTCAACAGCCAAGATTCTGGGTGAAATCTGGAATGGAGTCGGGGACCAAGGATATTGGGTTCCTATGAGGCAGCTACTATGGAGGGTCTGGAATGGCAGTTACCACCAACCCCAGGGGAAGGCCCCTACGTTATAGGAAGACCTTTATTTTCTAAGAGATGACTGCAGTTACTATACAGTGCCTGATACAGACTGGACCCTCAACACACATAGTGCTTGTTGAAGTGAAGAGTACCCCAGAGCACGAACAGGCAGTTACCCTCTCCCACCACCAGATGGCGACATACCAAGCCTCACTATAAGTCTCAACTCCCCAAATTTAAAGGATGGATAGTTGAACCTGGAGGTGAACAGTGAAGCAAGGTGGGTTTTTCTTTTTCCTGCTTTATCTTTTTAAATAAGTGGATCAGTAAAATTCAAAGTGGTAAAAATAAAAAGGGGGGGAGGTGAAGGCTGAGCCTCTTGGTTGACACCTGTGTGCTCATGCCATCTTGGGATGGTAGTTTTGGCCAAGGACTAAATTATTTTATATATAAAATAGTTTGTGCATATAGATATATAAAACTTATACAATAAGTTATATATAACGATTTAATCACAATAAATCCTCTTCCAGGAAACATTTCCAAGTCGTCCTGTTCCCTAGCCTTTTCCACCCACTTGGGGAGTGTTGGGAAACAACTCGTTTGTGGACACACAGAGACATTCAGTTATATATCAATTAATAAGACCTTTGAATAAGGCTGGCCTTGGCACCAGGGAGGTTGGTGGGATTTCTTGTCCATGTATTGGGTCCTAGGAGAGGAGGCAGAGTGACATCTTATGACCAGCTTGTGACCGGCAGGCTGACGAGAGCCCAGCCGCTTGAAAGATACAACCCTAGTGTTTAAGGGCCCCTCCCCTCAGGCGACCAGCGGCTCCTCTGTCTTGGCTGTGTGCTGCCGCTGGGCTCTGTGGGCGGTGGGCAGAGACCGTTACCAGAGACTCGGGCTACCCACCTGCTCCTGCAGCCGCTGAGCTGCCCCCAAGACCAGCCACTAGACTCTGGGGGAGAGGAAGATGAGGTGGCCCACAGGGTGGGGAGGGAATGGCCTGGTGGTGACCAAGGCCTCTCTGAGCCTCTTACCTTCTGGCTGCTCTCAGGAGAGGAATGAGAAGTCTGGGCTTACTAACTGTTTGGAGCCCAGGTGTCGGGCAAGACGCTTCCATACTAATGTCTGTAAGCCCCATTCACAGGTGACAAAGCCCTGGGCCCTGGTCTGTGCTGCTCAGTGCCGCTGGGGGTAATCATAAATTTACAGTCTGGAGTGCCTCTGAGCCATCTCTGAGCGTCTCTAGGAAGCATCCTGTCCCTGCCGCATGCCGGCTCTTCCAGACGTTTGCCGCGGCTCTCTGACCCCTCTCAGCGGACGGCTTTGACTCCTCGTTCCCAGAGAAAGTGGACACCGTCCGGCGTGAAACCCCTCCACTTCCAGCCTCCCTCCTTCAGACGAGTTTGTGTCTGGCGCCCTCACAGCCTCCCCTCCCGCAAGGGCCGGAATCTCTTCGCAGTGCCCAGGCCTCCGCCCGCCCAGGCCTCCTCTCGGGCTTTGATTGCTCCGCCAGGTTTCATCCCTCTCTCTCTGGCTCTTTCCATGAGCAAGCCCCCCCAACATCAAATAAATGAAACAGAACAAAACCCTCCCTTAAGCCTGTCCCGTAGTACCGTGGTCTCCTGCCTGCCTCAGTCCCCTCAAACCCAGCCGCCCGGGCTCGGATGTGGGCATGTGTGAAGACACAGGGAGGGGCAGGGATAGAAGCCCCTTCCCCTCTCCTTCCCACCCTTCCCCGCTGGTCATCTGTTATGTAAGCGGCAGTGGAACAGCAAATAAGCACAGGGCTCCAGCAGCAGCAGCAGCACTGTGCACATGCGACAATGACCTCAAAGCTCTGTCATCTGAGCTGGCAGCAGAAGTGTCCACAGGCTGCTGAGGCTGTGGTCAGCGCGAGCCTCTGTGCTAGGTTGCCCTGGGCTTCGCCTCCCACCAAATCATGCCTTCAGCCTCCAAGAGCAAGGCCACAGTGACAAGGAGCCAGACAAGAAGCCTGTCCTTTCTGAGGATGCAATGGGGACAGGAGCAGCACAGCGGAGACAGCACCCAGGCTGCAGTCAGGCTGGGTGGTCTATGTAGCCCTGCAGTTAAGTGGGTTTCAGGGGAGACCTGGATTACTGCTCATGACACCCCCCGTGTTTAAATACAGACTCCGAGTGCTTAGAATCTTGTCTGGGGAATCTTCCAAACTGGCCTCCACCACCACCGTCATGCCCCAGCTACAGGCTTGTGTCTTGTGGTCCCTCTCTCTGGTCGCTGTTCCCAGGGCACTGACCCAAAGGCCTCCTGGGCACCTATTCTTCAAATTTCCTAATCATTACAACAAAAATGTCATTGCCTGAGTTCATCCTATGTGTCCAGCAACATGCTAAGTAATCTATATGCATCATCTCATGTAATTTAATCATTACTGACTCAGTGAAGTCAATTTTGTTGTCTCCATCTCAGAAGAGGAAACTGAGACTTAGAGAAGTCTAGTCTTCTTAGAGCAGACATGTACCCGGCTGGCGAGCCATGGGGCCAGGTTCCAGCCCTGGTCTGTTGGACTCCATGCCCTTTTGATGCTATTGCTCGACCACTGGTGATGAGTTTGTGTTTGTTCCAACACACTCAGGAGCAAGAGAGGTCACATCACTAGCGACCCTCGCTTGCCAGGGTCAGCAAGATGGCCCGCATCTCTTACTGTGGGAGCCCTCTGTCTCGGTCCATTCCCCTTAAAAACAGAGAAAAGGCAGCACGCACTTGCTAAATAAAGCTCTGTGAAGACAGGGAGCTAATCCTAGGGCAGCAGCAGCGAGAGGACGAGGAAGGGACAGCAAGTACGGAGCGGTACGGCGCAGAGCTGGCTGTGGCACCCCGTGAAATAGAAAGGATCGCCGAGCCGTGCTGGAGTCTGTGGGGGCCGTGTGAAACCACGGTGCCTTGGAACCATTTCTTGGGGAGAAGAGTCAGGAATCTATGTGTCGTTTCCCTCCTACGTCAAGTGTGTCACTGGTCAAAGTTCTCCCCGTGGGGCATGAGCTCCCTCCTGCTTCTGGATTGTGTGCCTGGGCGCTCTGGGCAGGTGTGGGGCGAGCCTCAGCGGGTCCAGGTCAGGGTTCAGCCCCTTCCCATCATGGCAGGCATGATGAAAATCCTGCAGAAACCCGGCACTCACACCCAGGCGGCGGTGACAGCCTGCTGTGTTGGAGGAGGGGTGACAGCGGCTGCAGGGCTCTCCACCGAGCAGGTGGCTGAAGCTGGCCAGGAGAGGGAGATGGGGGGAGGCAGAGGACTAAGCAAATCTGGTTCTCTGTCTCTTTCAAGAGCGAGTCGAAGTTCCTTACCACAGCGTCCAAGACTCCCCCAGGGTGGCGTCAGCCTGTTTTTCCAACCTAGTCCGCTGTGTCCCCATACCGCCTCTCTCAAGGCCACCACTAGCTCATGGCGATCCTATGTATGGAGGAGAGACAGGAACCTCTCTGAGAGGTCACAGCCCTCTGGGCTCGGGGTTTAGCTGGCAGAACAATATTTTGGTACAAATTGGAAAAATAAAACACTTTCTTCCTGGTCTCAGCTCACATCAGAGTTCACAGCGGGATTTCAGCATGCCCCTTGGCCACCCATGCATGGAGGCCTTGCCAACCACGCTAAATCCCAGATGAGGA